ACATTAGGTTAAATGTGATTAAGTTAGGTATTATACAGTTATTTCAAAATAATATTTTAAGGCAGTGCTTTCCAAACTTTTTAGATGGTGACGCAAAAATAATTCTTCACTGCAGAGACAAGCATAAACTAGTATAAACTGGCACTACATAAGGCTCCCCACTTTACCTGCAACTACGCAAGGCTGTGTTGGCGAACCTTTTTCGTGTCATCTGCTCAAAAATAAACATAAACCATTCGATAATTTTTTGCATGCCACATCGGCGATTAAATTTTAAAATACGTCATATTACCTAATTTTATAACGGCTATAAATAAAAATAATAACTTAAAACATTTTGTGTAATTTCCGAAAACATGGCTACGCCCCTCAGGGCACGACGCGGTACCCCAAGGTGTCGCGACACCCACTTTGAAAAGCAATGTTTTATGGCATACTTAAATATTGAAGTTGACTGCACAATGCTTTGCAAAATATAAAGCAGTCAAAAATGATCATGATTACTAAACTAACTTCCAAGGCCTATATGATGTTAATTTTTAAACAGTTAAAGAAAATAAATGTCAGATTGCTTCTCACAATCTTGGAATCTGTGTTGTGTCCACTAAACATAGCCTAGCCACTAATTTAGTAATGAATTACTATAGCCACTTGGAAAACGTTTGGGTTTTAAAGACTCGGTTAAAGATGAGTCATGATGTAGTTGTTTAATAGTTACAAAGACAATCATGCTTGATGCAGTCAAACTCAAAGTTTTAGTATGTTCTTTACTACATGTAAGTGCATATTTACAATTAGAATGTTTTTAAGTATTCAGTATGTAAAGCATTTTTCATATATTTATTTTTCAACTACCTAATTACATGTAATATATATATTGTTATTTTCAGACAGTATTACGTCTAATTACAAGTGAGTTTGTTTTATAGTAGTAGTGTGAAAACAAAGTTGATATAGAATTTTACACACAACTCAAAATTTATGTAAATTTACAGAATATACTTGTAAATGTAAAGTAAAAAATGTATAGGAGTTTACATTATTCTGTCCTTGTGATGTATTAATATAATGTAATAGTCATTACTTTGGAAATAACCTTTTCGAATTGGAAATTGAGCCTTCTACCTCTAGTTACTGAATACATATTTTCTGTTTTTTTCATGAGTATCTACTTGTTCATTTCCCTGAAAGGGAGCCAATAGTTGCATATAGTGGTTGCCTGTTTTAACCATTCACACCATTATACAATACTGTGTTGTCTGTCAGTCAGTCATTTGCAATAAAATGATGCCACATAACGGACACTTAGCATTGCAATTTCTACTGTTGTGATGTCAGTAAAACGTACACATGCCACGAATTATGCATTCTGTAGGCTACAACCCAGCATGACATATGAACTTCAAAAGAGGAACAAATATTTTTATTTATTTCTTCAAAAGCAAAATATGAAAATATTTCTTCCTCTTAATTTTGGTTTTATTTACGCTTGAAACAGAACACTTTTGGGGACCCTGTGGAAGTACATCTAGTATATGCAAGCTACAGTAAGCTTTAATTTGTGAATATTAACTGTGAATGAGAGTTTTATGTTGAAAACATTAATTGTTTCTAGTTGTTTGCCACATAAAAGCTGTTGGTGTAAATAATTTCATTTCAGCAAACTACTTGACTAAGAATTGTTTTGTGATGTTTTAGTATGGTCACACAACACTGATAATACATTAGTTATCCATCTTTATATATATATTTGTAATACACACTTCAAAACTTTGTTTCTTTCAGTTGATGAAATCCATGCATCCGTCATTGCCTTTCTGCTTTGATAAAGTTATTCTAGATCTGCTCTGTTAGGTCTGGTTCTTACCAGAATTTATTGATTTCTTTTAGTAGTATAAAGGAGATTGAGTGTACATATATAAAAGGGTTATATAGTAGAGTGTTTCCCTGTTTGAGTTTACCATTTTTATGAAAGAATATGGAAGTCAAAGTGACCAAATGTAATAGAATTAAACCCAGCAATAATGAAACTAATTTATTTCCTTTACCAAAGGTAGGAATGTTCAAAGATTTTAATATAAAACATATTGTTAACACTAGAAATGGAAATTAAAATGTAAAGTGTGTAAATACATAGTGTTAGTAAAAATAATTTCTTCTGTAATAAATATTTGTATAGAGTTTACGTGATTTTTAACTTGTGTATCATTTGACAAAGTTTTATAAGCAACATATTTTAATATAAGATAAAACTTTTAGTTCCTGAAGCTTAAAAGTACAATATGAACCAAAAAATAATCAGAAACAAACTAAGGTGATTTTTATGTGAAATTTTGATATCAGATAAACTACATGATTTTTGAGTAGCAGCAACTGCTGTTAATGAGGTCATTTTATGTTGTTTAAGTTCAAGTTGTCATGTTAAAATGTAGGTATAAAAGTTAGTTTCGTATCTATCTCGTAAGTTATAGATAATTATAATTAATTATGGAACTTATCATTGCTTTTAATTTTTTAACACAAATCAGTTTCATGTGTAAGATAGTAAACTCTGAAAATTGTAACAAATGAAAAACTTCCTGACTTTCACATTTCTTATTTTAAAATAAATCTATTACAATCTCTTGTTAATTATATGAAATTATACTGGGGGATTATTAAATCCTGAAATGCAATTAAGTTTTACCCAAGTTTTTTTGAGATAAGGCAATTATATTATAGAAAATCATAAAACTTATAACTGAGAAAACAGTCTGAATTCTACACTTAATTTTCAGTATAAATCACTTTGAAAAGTTATGGAAACAAACCACAAAACTTAAGCAAAGCTTAACAACCTTCACCTTTGATCTTTCAAAATAAAGCAGATTAAGTATTTACTAGTTACAATAAGGTATAAGTGAAAAGTTATAAAAGTTAAGAAATGCCACATTATCTTTCCCTTACGCATAATCACCATCTGGGAGTCTTTATCAAACATGGTTGAAATTGGTTTTGACATTCATGGTGCTAACAAAGAGCTGATCAAATTTGAACCTATGGTAAGCTCTGTTGAATACCAAACAAAACAGCAATTTTGTAGTCAAAAGGAAGAAAATTGTTGTAAGTCTTTATTTTTTTGCTCATTTTGCAACAAATATACATGTTTATTATTCTCTCTACATTTAAAATAGCAGATTTTTGCTTTATCCTTAACGTTATGCACCTGTAGAAGAGGTCTACAAAACTTAATTCACCAAATTTACCCACTTTAGATATTAAAACCACATGAAGTTTTTCTGATATTAAAAAATTTTTTTAGAATCCTCAGTCTCTGTCCAGCAATAATAATAATAAAGAAAAAAATGATGCAATTATTCCTTTTCTTAGTGGTATGAATGTGAAGAGAAAAGTACAGTGTGCACACTTATTCAAAGTTTGATTGTCAAAAATGTTAAATCTGCTTTAAAATAGCTCTAAATATAACCTGTATGCCACTATTATTCACCATTTAGGGAAACAGCTCCAAAAAGTTGTGAATAAATATTTATTCTTAAAAGCATGCCGCATAAGTGGTGAATGAGGAAGAACATCACTTAGTAAAAATAAAAATATTATATGGTCACTGCTGCTACCGGCTCTTCCTCATTTGTTGTCATCCTTAAAGGGAGCACACTTTCTAATCCTAGATAATATACTTGACAATGTGTGTAATATTAGGAATATCTTGGCCTGTATATTACTTTCCCATAAAAGCTGCTTCCCTTTTCAAGGTGTCGTTAAGCAGTGATGATTACAGTGTAAATGTCTTGAGTTGATGTAACACAAAACTATGTGAAATCCATCCAAAAATGCTTGAATGAAAAAGTCAAAATTCTGCTTTAGCTTAAACAGTAGGTGATATCTTATAAATAAAGCAGCTTGGCATTACTCACTTTGCATCACTTTATGTAGGCGACGTAAATCTGAATTTACATATTTTTTTTGGCTCTTAATTCACTTAAGAAATATATTGAATTACACTGAACAAAATTTGATTTGGAAAATTATGAGCTGAAGTTATTCTAAACAGAGTCTCAGACTTGAAAATCAGCAGTTTATAGCAGAAATTGGTCGAACCATTACTTGTTCCACTAATCATGGTACATGACCCATTATCCAATCAGTTCTCATCAATTTCAGTCATTCCAGATACCATACAAACAACTGTAAAAACTGGTGCAAGATGACCTGATAATGAAAGGGTTTTTTTGTAAGTTAGTCCTCCAAGACTTTCTCCAAATGTTTTACTCTAAACTAGGCAGTTTTTGCCCATTTCAACTCTGTTTGTTCATTGTATGAAATAGTTTTGAAAGTTAATGAATTAATTTGATTAGCATGTTCAGTAATGCAAATCAAAATATCATGGTGTTCTTTCACATAAAAACAAAGATAAGTTGTTTCTAAAATTCAAGGGAAAAAAGTAACTCTTTGCTGGAACATCACCAAATGCCAACTGTGAAGACAGTTTTAAAAATATTTTATATTTTAGGGGGTTCTATCTTATATGATCCATATTCTTTGTCTTTCATTGACATTTTTTTCTGGCCCTGCTTTTCACCAACGTGTATTGATATTGATATCTTTGTGGTATATTATCTTTGTTAAAAATATATAAACATTTTATTTTTCTGCACATACTAATTGTACAATAAAATTGAAAAAAATGATGCAAGTATTCTTTTTTCCTATTGGTATGAAGAGGAAAGTGTGCACCTTATTTGGTTTGATTGTCAAAAATTTGAAATTCCTATAAAATAGTTCTAAGTATAACCCATTTTTCACTGTTATTTGCCACTTAGGATAGCAACTCCAAAAACGTTCTTGAATTGGTGTATTTTTTTTGGAAAACTTTGTTTGTTCATTGTACATGCTCGGTGTCTGTACTGCTTTAGAGTGTCCAGTTTTATTTGTTGGGTATAATGTCAACTTACATGTGTACATTGTTTCTTTTCCATTAGTTACATATTTCTTTATTTCAGAAAAATTGCTGGGTGGTGGACATGACAAGTATAGATGGTAGACCAGCTCAGTATGGCCTTGAAGTCAAGGACCTTCGAGAACTTATGGAAACAAAAGGCCATGAAGCTGTTGAAGCAATCAGGGGTCATTATGGGGGTGTGCAGGAGATGTGCAAAATGCTGTTTACATCACCAACAGATGGTGAGTTTTCAACTTCCAATTCACTTTTACTATTTATTTATAAGAAATATTCTATAAAACTATAAAATATGTTTCGTTTGTGGTGTCTTTCAAATTTTTCCACAAAACTCATGCATAATACGTTTTATCATTACCTAGTCTTAGTTTAGTGTTTTAATCTAGGTTCTGCATTTACAGTAGAAGTTGTATATATATATTACACTGTTTATCTTGTTTTCTCAAAATTATGCAACAGCTCATGAGTAAATTATGTTTGTTTGTATTTAAAGTAATCCAGTATATTTTTGTGTGAATATGATCATATTAATGTTAAATCTCCTAAAATGTCTTTTATAAACATTTCAGAGAAGTTAAGTCAACCAAATAAAGCTTTATTTCTTACTTTCACTATAATTTTCTTGCTGATTCTTCCTTCCACATGTAACCATGTGATTAAGAAAGGCAGAGAAATACTTAATTGAGATCTTTTAAGGCAGTTAATATATCCTGATTTAAGTAAACAAGCAAGTACATGAGGTACTGCTGCTGATTTACATGTATTTCATTCACAGAACAACCGTGCATGAAAAAATATAATACTCTTGTATTATGTACTGTTGTGATAAGCGTTAAAGTGAGAAACGTTTTTTAGGCAATTAAAGCTATTGAAGTTGGCCACCTGCAGGAAATGCATCATTAACATTATTTAAAATATTGTTGCAGTTCAGTTTCTAATTGCTTAAAAAACAAAAACAACTTTTCCAATGTAAACTTGGTCACATTATTAAATTTAAGCAGCTTAGGGAGATCCACACCTCATAATACTCTTATAATATGGATAGAAAGATAAGGTTTTAATTTTTGATAAACTAAGAAACTTTTGTGGCAACAAAATATAAATTCTAATCATTGTAGGAGGTTATAAAAGTGATATTTGAAATTGTAAAAATTTTGTAAAAACTCATTCTGCTATTTATTTATTTCATAATTAGAATTAAGATTTAGTTGTAGTAATATTGATTTATTCAAATTTTGATGGCTTATCAACCAATTGAAACTAGAAGAAGTATAATGTTTGTCATTAAATAAGTAAGATGAAATATTATTTCCAAACTATTTAATGACTGTTTGGATACTCTGTATTTACCTTCTAAAAGTGTTTGTTTTATTGGGTTTCTTTAATTATATTTATGTGTGAAAATTAATTAATTATCAAAGCATATGATCTTTCAGGTTTAAGTGGTTCAACCACAGACCTTGAACACAGGCGGCAAACATTTGGCTCTAATGTTATCCCACCTAAACCTTCTAAAACCTTCTTACAACTAGTATGGGAAGCACTTCAAGACATTACACTTATTATTCTCGAAGTTGCTGCCATTGTATCTTTGGGTCTTGCCTTTTATGAGCCACCGGCAAATATAGAAGAAGAAGGTAATACATAAATAAAATCAGTTTCTAGGATAGAAAAAGTTATTGAATTAATTATTATTTTAAAAGATACTTTCATGATTTGTAAAGTGCCTGTAGTTAGTTCTTTTGCTGGAAATGGTGATATAATCTGTTTCATTTTGGTTAATGTACATAGTTTTCTAGAAGATTGTAAGGGCTGTTTCAGTATTTATTGCTTGTAAGTACTTTATAAAATCACCATATATCTTCCGTATAATATATATAAGTATTAAAAAAATGTGACTTTATCTTGAAATATTGGAGAAATTAATTTGTTATTTTTAATGTTTTTGAACTTAATCTCAATAAGCTGTATTAAAAATTATTTCTCTAAACTGTAGTTGGAGATACAGTGTAGCAAAAATTATTGTGAATGAAGAGTGTAACCATTAATAACAAAGCTACTTTGTATGGTAGTGTAATTTATTTTTATTGCCATTGAAAACCAGTCATGCTCATGTTATCTTTTTCAATTCTAATTCCTGGTAATAAGCCAGGCACATTCTGTCAGTTAAAAGTCACTTTGTACTATAAAAACGTCTATAAATTTGATTTAAAAATATCATATTGTTTCATTGTTACTATTAATATGCCATTAGGAGCTTGATGTGATGTTACTCTTTTTAGCTGTTCTGGACAAATGTTGTTTCCAGTTATTTTTAACCCCTAAAAAATAAAACATTTAGCTATACATATACTTTCTGCATTACTATCAAGGTATACTAAGAGCAAGTTTCATCCATAAATATTACATTAACCTAGTCAATGTTTTTAAATTGGGCCTTTATGTGATATTTCCATAAGAACATCACCTATCCATATCAAAAGAAATTAAATTAAATCAGAATAATCACTAGTGTTTTAAAAACCAAAGACAAAACTAACTAGTATTTCTGCTTTGATAATGACAGTTGTCAGATTTAAAAAAAAATAATATTATATATATAAGTTCTTCTTTTTGCCAATTATCGAAATAAATGGCTTTTACTTATATTTCTTACTTGTATAAATATATACTGTGTTGTTGTTGGGCTTAGGATTCTTCTACAATAGGTGTCTGTGATTTGTTAGCGATAAATTAAGCAATGAATAAACAGCACACACTTTACTTCTTTTCAAATAATATATATATATTCGGAACAAGTTAAATGTATATACAACAAAAGTCTTCACACTATAGAGATTACAGGCATATCATAAACACTATTTATATATAGTTCTCTTGTCAAAAGTCCACTTAGGTCTATTCAATTACTTTAGAATTTCAGTTGACAAGTTGAACTATCTTCTCTTTATTACTATCGTACTAGTATTTTGTGTGTGATTCATTTACAGTTGTGGCACGAGTTACCAAAATTCGTTTGGTCTTCTTTCTTCTGAACATCCTCTGTTCCTTTTGTCAAAGTTTACCTAGGCTGGTTCAATTACTTTAAACTCATGCTTTGATGGAATAAAATTATACTTCTTATCTTTTTTTTTTATATTGTTAGTTTCACTCTTAACATATTAAATGTTAGGCCTATGTCAGTTGTTAGGCCTATCACTTCTACATTACTTCAGTTCACACCAAGTATATTCTCTTTGCTTTTATCTGTCTACTATTGTCTGTCTGCTGCTTCCCACTCATCTCATGCTATTTATATCATTATTACATAGTCGTCTGGCCACTTTCTATATTCTGGACACCAATTAGTTATTAACTAAACCTTCTACAAATGTTTGCTTTTAACTCTTATTATAACAAAACTTAAAAATAATAATCACTCACAAATATAAATTAATCACTAATATTTAAACCAAACAGTTTTTTATATCATGACAACAGTCAAGATCACTAACTTTTAAATTCTTTTTCAAGATTAAAATATTTCTTTGTCCAAAAAGCACCATTTACGCTTGTACAGACATGAACTAAAAGTAGTTTAAAACAAAGTTACAGTACAATCTGAGGTTTTGCCTTGCTAAGCTACATATGCCTAAAACATATACTTGATCACTTTAGCCATTAAGGATAAAGCAATAGCCATTCAAAATCAAAGAATAATTATACATTCATACATGAATAGGAGCAATACTATCTAGCTGGAAATTTCTGTCCATCTTTGAACGACAGATCATATTGTTACGTATCTGCTCGTTTGTTAATTTCCGGTATAGATTCTTCCCGAGAAACTTCAGCAATACAAGTCCTTTCTTAATTAAAACTAGTTTATTCTTTCACGGTACAACTTTGTAATACACAGAATTTCCATAGTCACTTTAAACTTAACAACTTTTATAACACACTATAAATCACAGTGATTCACACACTTTACTTACGGTGCCTACTCTTTGCTTGACTCAATTATCTATATCTTCAACCTATCTATATCTCTTCAATTGCACTGATTTTTCTTGCCAGGTTTGTATACTAAAAAGAGGGGTCTCGAATGCACTCGGGCCTTCATGATGCTTCGAGAAACTCCAGCATGCATGCTCCAAGAATTGTGCGACTTCCGCTGTCATAACAATATTATATTTACAATAATAATGAAAACAGCAGTCTAGTGTTTAAATAATAAAGCACAGAAATGTTAACATGTATTTATAAAATAACTAATAATACTTGCTGTTTTATGTTATGAATTACCTATATTTCCTTGATAAATGAAATCAATAAAAACAGTTATTAAAAAACTTATTAAAATATTTACAAGTTAATACAAGGGCATTGACCAGATTCACTATTGTTTTACCAAGCTCCATTAACATTAACTAACAATGTTGTATTTTGATTTAGAGATATTCTCTAGCACTAGATGCTACCATTAAATACATTAATAATAACATGATACTTTTAGGAGATAATATGTCACATGCTTTGAGCTATAAGTTACTTTGAAATATTCTGAAGAATGTAAATAAAAATGTCAGCAACTCTAGCTAAATGTATACTGTAATATAGACTATTTGAAAATTAAAAATATATATATAATGATAAATATGGTAAAAGCTTTGATCAAACTGATAAAAACACTTATTTCATGTAATTCTTGTACTGGGAAAATTTGAAGTAAAAACTCCACCATTGAATGCTAAGAACTTGAGGCTTTCATAAGTTCTGTAATTTGTGCAAGAAGATCAATTCACTGTACTTACTCTTTTATAGGTAAACTTTAGGAAAACTAATACTTCTTTATTTTTTAATTTTTAGTTGATATTAACTTCTGATAAGATCAAGCTACTTACACGGAGCAAAATTAAAACTTAACCTGGTAATAACTATAGCTAATTAAACATACTTTTCTTACATTTTTATTTATAAAGTAGAATGCATTCTTTTATCAGTTAGATACATTTGCTGTTAACAATATTTTTGGCTGTAATTTACCTGCAACTGTCTTTTTGTGTTGGTTTTATATTGAAGTTCCGGAACTTGCAGAAAAAGATAATGCACAATGTTCACCCTAGATAGTCTTTTTAGGCTTTTATGTTATATTAAAGTGGTTAAAAATGAGGAGACCCATGATTTAATACCAGGTAAGCTAAATTTTTTATATTGTAAGCTGCTATCATTAAAGTAATTTATCTCAAAATCAGGGTTTATCAGGTTAGCTGGGTTACAGTTTGTAAAGCAGGGCTATCAAACTGATGATAGTTTAAGTATGATAGTTTAAGAAGAAGAAGAAAATAAAGAAGAGGAAAAAAAAACAGAATAATTCAAGGATTGTAGTTTATTATTATTTGTATCCACAGGTGGAAACTTGTGTTTTGGTTAAAGTTTGCTTTATTAACACTTTTGGTTTTGATTTGTTATGATTACTTTTCATCAAAATTATTAATAATGGAAGTTTGTGAAGCATAGAAATTTCTAAGGTAGAAAATATAGTAAAGAAATATAATTTAAACTTCTAATCATTTCTAACATTCAACACTTGACCAGCAAAATATAAGTTTCCAATAAGAAGTGTATGATAAAATTTTAAATATGTTTCTAGTAAGAAGTATGTGATGAACATATTTTAAATACAGGTTTTCAGTAACATTTATTTCACTCCATATTTCTTTTGTAGTTGCTCAAGATGAAGGAGAAGGTGAGGCAGGATGGATAGAAGGAGTTGCAATTTTAGTTTCAGTTATTATTGTTGTCCTAGTAACAGCTTTTAATGATTATACCAAAGAAAAACAGTTTCGAAGTCTACAAAATCGTATTGAACATGAGCACAAATTTGCTGTTATTCGAAGTGGGGAGATTAACCAGATTCCTGTTAGTGAACTAGTGGTTGGTGACATTTGTCAAGTTAAATATGGTATGTTTAATCACATCTTTAGTTAAATGAGTTAATGAAATACTTTTCATACATCTCTAAAATTGTATCATAATTATCAACTTCCTACATTTAGCATATTTTATGCTAAAATTGCAAATAATCTTAGAACTAAAACTTAATTTTGTATAAGGGAAACATCTTCATTTCATTGCAATCCAAACTGTTCTGGATCCTGGTAGAAATAGGCACAGGAGAATAAAAAGTATACCCATAAGAGAGATAAATAAGTTATTTGTTGTGAAGCAAGCTTTTTGTCTTGCCATATTCAGTGATAGGAGGCCTTATTTCGACCTTGGATGATTAATTATGGGAGGAATGTTTAAGTTTATCTTGCCACATTTGTTATGTACAAGATATAGCAGATAAAAGTATTTATTTTAATTCCAAACGAAATTACGATCATAGACCAATACTTTTGATATGTCATTTATGTTTATTGTGTTACATTATTGACAATTAAATGGACTGATTAATGTGGATAATGTAGTGGGTACTAGTTTATGTTTCTTGAGATTTGTAATCGGAGCATTGAGAAACTGTTTTTATATCATAAATGTCATAAGAATTAAATTTATAATTTAAAAAAACATACATCTTACTTATTTAGCTATTGTCTTTTATTTACCAGTTTGTAAAACCATTGAAAATAATTGCTTATTTGTCTTTGAGTACTTTGTTTAATTTCTCAAGGCAGTTGAAATTGTTTATGTTGCGCTTACAACTATGTATTGCACTGAAATGAAATTACTAGTGTTTACATTATTTATATGATTGCCTATCAAAATATTGTAAAAATTTAATAATTTTGTTTGCTACAATTACATCAACAATTTCTGTTAATTAATATGCTATTTGTAACTCACTGCCACTGACAAAATCTGATATTTTTCTAAAGGTGTAACATGGAAATCAAGAGGTTTTAGTGTTGCCTTAATTTTTTCCCCTTAATGTTATAACTGTTTATCTTAGCTCATTTATGTATTGCATAGAAGTTTATGAAATTGCATCTTTTGTGTTTGCCATGTTTCCTGTACCTGCTCTATAGTATAGCCAGTGATGTTCAATCGATATAGGAGCTATAATTGCATCATATTCAAAACCTCTTATGGGATTTTCTGTTATAGCTTTTGTGCTAAAGATATATTTGTAAAATACCAATGTCGGTCTGACTTGTACTCTGACAACTCAGAGTACAAAATGATGTTCATCTGAAGAGTAAAAATACTTTTGTCCATCATACAGTTTTCAAATTGAATTTGCATAACCTCTACAACCTCCTAAATGCACATCTAAAGTTTTTTCAGTATCCCCATATACTGTATCAGGTATTTTTCATATTCTAACAGAAAGTATTTACAAAGCAATATAGAGTAACTTGAAATTTTGATAACTCTGACATCAAATACATAACATCACGTTGAGTGGCACTCTGTACAAGGTTGGGGCATGCATATTTTGACTCCGGCCTGAGTAAATATGGTTAGTGATGCCTTCAGAAGTAGGGAAAATTCTCCAAAATTGCAAGTTATGTCAAGTTTATCTTAGTATTCTAGCCATGTTAATTTTAATTGAGCGTGCTTTTTCTTCTGCTGGGAGAACTGTTGAAACAAAAACTATTTCACCAATATCACTGACCCCTTCTTCCACTACCAACATTTGAAGCAGATAAACATAAATAACATGTATGCCCAGCACTCTTCAATGTTAACACTGTGATTTGCATTCTGTTAACAGTTTGAAGTTGAACTAATATCTGACAGTTAACTTATGCATTCATATTTGTTGTATATTGGTGTTTATAAAACAAATGAACTAATCAATATCCAGAAGTGTTATGAGAAAGTAAAACAACACATTAATATAAAATGAGTAGACATGTGCAGAGCATTTCACATTGCTTTCATGCTATTCCATGGCTTCGTTGAAAAGTGGTCAAATTGGAAGAATCTCTGTATAAATGTAAATTTATTGCATTATAACAATACTTTTGCTACTTAACTTTTTCTGTCAATATGTTGTCAACTGATAACCTACAAAATACTGAATGTAGGGATTGACAAACACATTGTTGTACCAAACATTACGTGTAATAATTTAGATCTATTTCTCATTTCTTTGGTTAATATCTGATCAATACATTATTGTTTAGTAGCAAATATTCAAGAAAATATTTGGGTAAACACAGCAATCATACTCATTTTATTCATAAAATTTTATGTGTATAAGGTCTGTATATGTGTGTATTGACAGTTTCCTCCAGTTTTATGGATTACTGATGTTCAAATTTCTGTGTGCATTTAGTTTAAACTGAAAAATATTTTTTTGTATAATGTAATCGTAACAGTATTCCTGAGCTCCAGTTGGATTATTGGTTTCTCTACCCACATGAAATTTGCACATCCTGAATGAAAGATTTATCAGTTGTTTTAAATCTAAACAGTATTTTTGAAGATATGTATTAATGAGGGTAAAATATATAGACTAAGTATAGTTACAAAAGAAAAATTTCATTAACCTATGTAAGAAAACTCACTATATTTTGTTGCTGTTCAGGTGATCTCTTACCTGCAGATGGTATAATTATTCAGAGCAATGATTTGAAAGTTGATGAAAGTTCTCTAACTGGAGAGTCTGATCATGTTAAGAAAGGAGAGCTACATGATCCTTTGCTCTTTTCAGGTAAAATAGTATTTATTTGTTTTGATTTAATGTAATTTGAATATATTTTATACAGGGTGGATCATAACAAACCCAGTGTGGTTACTAGAGATAACAATTCACTTGCATATCATGTTTTTTTCTTGTAGGGCTGTAGGTAAGTTTATCAAGGTAGAAAATGAAATCATACAGTTTGGATGTCCTTTGCAAGTTGTTTAGCTTGATATTTCAGACTTTTGACTACAGATCTGTGCAAGAAAATGTGTGTGTCACACATGGAGTGATAATAGTATTAGACTCTTGGAGCATTTATAAAGTTGAACTGATTCAGTGATCATTCAGCTTTATAAGTGAAAATTTTTGTTGTGTTCCTTATACCTTTGCTTTCCTTTGTTGGGGGAATTCTATATGGCTTACTTTGTATATATATGGTACCAAATATGTATTGGATGGAGGTTAGACAGGAATTAGGCTTTATCTTAAATTATCAATAGTAACTGTAGTTACTGTAAGCTCAGGTATCGGTTCAAGAACTTCTAGTACTTTATCATCACTTGTTGTCTTGTCATTGGGGGAGTTCTTTTCAGTAACATGGTTATGGGAATTGAACTTGCTGGTGGTTCCATCCTTGATGATACATTGGAAGTGAGCTCCAGAGGAACTGTTGGCTCTTCAACAGGTTTATTTACCTCTGACAAAGTCTTCTTTGAAGCTAACCAGTGGGTTCTTCTCTCACTGTCATACTTCCAGAGGCAATCACTGCAGATGACCTATAGCGTGGACTGTCTCACCTGGATCCTAAAAGATGCATTGTTCTTTCGACTACAGAATATGTTCTTTTCTAACATCTACTTAACTTTAAAGGTAGTCTTCTCTTGCAACATTTATTATACAAACATACCAGGCCACATTGGTGAAATTGAGTCTTATTAGCACTTTCATCATAGTGGTTTTTCCTCTGATCACTAAGTGATTTAAGTCTTTCTTAGGTAAAATTATATGGAATCAGCAATGTCCTTAGTTTCAATGCATATTCTGTGTAAGACTCTTTCGGTGATTCTAGTGTGTTGCCTATAGCTTCATGTATATCTGTTTGATAACTCATGAGTAGGAGTGAAAGCCACTTTTTTGTTGTTCATCCACATAGATGAAAGGTTGTGTGTGGTCTTGATGTTCCTTATTCCATGGATTTGACATACCTCCACAGACAAGGTTGAAGTTAAGTTAGTTCCATCCCTGATCTGAGTATAGCTCACCTTTCAGTAATCAATACAGAATTTGTAGACACATTCCTCTTCTTCACATTTACAGTAGGTGATACCCAAAGACAACCACTTGGTTCTTTTAACCCTTGACACTTTGTTTTTTCTTAGCTTCCATTCATTTGAGATCCTCAGCCTGTTTTGAAACTGGGAATTTTTTGGGTTACATCTCCAGTATCAAGCTAATAAGATGTTTTATTTGTTTGACCTAAATCAAGAGATCCAGTAGAGAAGATATTGTAATTCTATGAGTAATTTATTACATTTATCAGTTGTAGTACTTTCACAGATCCTGTAAATGAAGCTAAAACTCCCCTTATGTGAAGATTTAACATCAAACTTCCTACACCTCCTAGATGATTATGTTTTGTATTCTTTAGTTCGGAAGTACTACTTGTAAAACTTTACATCTTGTAATGTTTCACCCAGAACACTAATATTTCATGGTTAGTTCTGCATATAGTCCTACTGTTAACATCCTTATTGTTTAGATACACAAGAGTTTTTCCAAACAATTCCCTCAGCACAAGTTGGAGTGTTTAGTTCTACCATACCTCAGTCATTAGATTTAAAGTTGTTCCTGATAAGTTCTATTATGAGTATTTCATATCTTTTTGGTATGATAACTGCCCTCATTGTTGTCAAAAATTCAACCTCTTTCTTGTTTTGTTTTTGTCTTGTAATGCACAAGAGATTTCCTGGTCATGGAATGTGAGACTTTTTTCAAGTGAGTCTAACCTCACATCTATGTTTCTGCATGAAGCCTATTCCCAATATTCACTCTTCTTCAGTGTAGATCATATAATTCCCATGATCCTGGAAATCTTTGAAACAATTTTTCAATGCCATTTTCAGGCTTGGAGTTATTATGAAAAATTCTGAAAGGTTTTGGAAACATTTTGAAATTTAAACAAAAAGCTGATTCAAGAATTTTAATGAAGTTTAAAGGTAAGTAAACAGTTTGAAAACATCAGTTGTCAGTTTAATGGACTGTTTTGCTGTCTGAGCACATACATGTTATTGTCTGATGTGCTCACAGGTCCAAGAACATGAATACGATATTTTAACCAATCTTTTGATGATGCCATGATTTATCCAGGTAAATAGATGTTTTTCTAAAATACATTGTTAAAAATTGCAAGTTTGGCTATAAGATAATAAAAATCAGCTTTTTGCACACTACACGTGTGGCACACACATCATGTTATATAGAGAGTAAGTATGTAAGTAAATCTAATCACCTATGTTTGCATTGCTTCATTAAGACCTGTGACTAGAAAAAAATTTCAAAAATAACTCGAGGTCAAACAATGTATTGGACATTCAGTGCTACCAAACCAAACACAGGTCATCATGTATGGCATCAGTCTAAAGGCATTTGATTCATGCTAGGCCCAGATTTATTTATTTGTAGCAAGGAAATTCTAGGAATCCTGCTTAAACAGTTTTCACCTATTGAAAATACAGCACAATTATAATGATGCATAATAATACATGTATAATACAAATTAGGATTCTTAATGAACAAATAACAAAACATAATAAATTTAAATAGAAATCTTATGATAAAATCTACCAAATTTAAAAAAGTAATGCCATTACATAATAATGTAATACATTTGAGTATTGAATATAATTTTAAAAGACCAATATAAAATAGTTTGATAAACATTGTTGTGAACTTAATTTTTATTTCCAATCCCCCCTCTCTCTCTGCGGGTTTGTAAAATGTCAGGCCAGTGTAGTTTTAAAACAAACTAGTTTTCAAATCAAAACTATCAGAAATGGTTAGAAAGGGATTTACATCCTAAAAAAGCAAGATGTAAATCATGCCAAAGTTCATCTGACATCAGCAGCATGGGAGAAGCAACTTTGCACAGTCATATGACAAGCAGAAAATGTGAAGGCAACATCAAGCAATGATAGTGCTACCTGCATCTTCTTCAAATCACCCAAACAGAAACCATCCATCTTAAAAAAAAAAAACTACCACTGCAACTGCCACCAGGTCAACATCCATCATCCAGTCATTTGTTTATTCTACAGATATTTTCATACTTAGCATACATAGATTAGCTCCATATTTCACTGTCATATTTAAGCACAAAATTCAGAAGTCTCATGTGTATATTCTTTTGTTTGATAATAGTTTGAACAAGTCCCTCATGATGAAACTGTGACATTCGTGCTCACTTTTGAGATGAAAAAACTGTTCCTGCAAGGTACATCAAATCAGAGTTCTTAGGATATGCTACAGCTACTAATCTATTTGATAATCTGTTTTCTGTGTTCTCAGACTTTGTTTCTAACAATTTATAACAAATATTCATGGATGGCCTCAATGTTAATTGGAAGCTATAAGAAATGTTATCAACTGAAGCTAATAAACTCAAACCAAAAAGTTACCTGTTGCAAGTTAGATCTTGTGGTTTGCACACAATTCACAATTCTTTTAGAGATGAGTGTAAAGCAGTTGACTAGCAATTTGAAGAACCTCTAGCAAATTTCTACTATTTCTTCAAAGATTCTCTAGCAAGAGCTGATGACTTCAAAAGTGACCTTTGGTCCTCCCACTAAAGTTTGGTAGGGATCGATGGCTGGAGAACATCAGTGTTGTGGAAAAGTGTTTGTCCCTGCTACTTCATCTTAAAACATAGTGAGTGCACAGAAACCCCCCACCAAAATTAAAGTCATCTGACATTACTCACTAAGCTGTTAATTCCCATCTCTTCATCTCCAAAGAACAGTTTTTTTGTCAGTCAATAGAGAAATCAAACCTTTTCTCAAACAATTCCAGGATGATAAACTGATGTTTCTTTTATGGCTGCAAAACTCTTTGGTCTTGTCAGGGGATTGTTGGAAAGATATGTCACTTTGGAACAACTGGGAAACTTTACTGGACCAAAACACGATGCAAACCTGGATTTAGCAGACAGAAAGATTTTAAAGGAAACTTCATTATTGATACTGGTTTTGTTAAAAAAATGTCCTTAATGATTGAAAAGGGCTTCTAAAATGAGTGATAAAGACTTGCTAGGCTTTACACTTGAATGCTGGCAATTCCTTGAGGGTGTTGCGAAAATTATTCAGAAGTCCACCTTAACTTATAACTTGTTAAGGAACATGAGCTGCTTGAATCTGGAAGTGATGTTGTTAAAGGCATCACTTAGTGCTGTTATGTTTTCATCTTGTCTAAAAAGTCTGGTAAATGCAGACAGGGTGGAAGAAAGTGACTATGGTGCTGTTCTCAGGCAGTACAAAGTGTTAGTAGGTAGGAAACAACAATTTATAAGGATGAGTTTTACTGATTGTGGAACATACTACATGTTTCAACAGAACATTGGTCTGTCTTCTTCAGGTATGCTAGGAGAGTTATATTAGACCACATTAGACATGATGGGGGTATCCTAAATGTAAACATAACTATGAAAGTGCTTATCTTTGTTGGAAATGAAAGACAGGGGAATAGGAAATACTTAGAAGAGGAGAAGTTCATAAAGCAGAACCACAGAAAGGAGACAATAGAAAGATTGGAGAAATGGAATTGGAACTGTAAGATCTCAAACATAAGAAGATCAAAGATCAAACTTAAGTCTGACATTAAGCAGCTCCTTTCGTGACTTGACGAAAACTTTGAGAATGCTGAAATGGAATGAATCTTAGTCTCCTCACATTGGCCAATTTTCTGTGGAAAGTTGTAAGAGAAAAGGGAGAATCTTTGAAGGTTTTCACAATGAAAATTGAACAGAAACTGTCAAACAAGAAATGCTGAAACAATTTCTCTTTGACTTTTTTTATTTTCAGATAATTTAGTTACATTTGAACACTGCTAGATTAGTAATAAAAATGTTACTGCCTTTTTACCATATCAAAAATTATGTACCACTATTTGCCTTTGAAAACATGCATGTCTAGGTGCAGTTTCTGGTGTAACCCACACAAGATGGTTCTTGAATTTCTAAAAATTGTCATTGAAAAGTGATTAAAAAGTCATAAAATTTTGTGTGCATCAGTGCAGGAACCCTGCAATAATCCACACATCCTGTTGTGTAAATACGTTTCCCACAGTTAAATATGACTTTCACCTTTTCTCTTGCAAGAACTCTATGACTTCTTGCTGTTTACATAAATTCATCCTCTTCACCTCTAGAGGGAATTTTACATCTTTCATTTGCATATCAGGTCAAATAATGGTAGCTGTGGAACTATTGCTGATCAGCAAATTGCAAGGCTTCTAATCAGTGAATCCATTAACTAATTTTGGGAGATTAGGTATTCTTAATTAAACTTGACCTATTAACTACTGCTAATTCCTATTTTCCAATATCTGGTTAGCTCTTTGTTTCTTTCATCTGATCAGGTTCTGGGACTAATCCTCAGAGTATCATCTTCATGGTTTATCATTATTTGTTGATTCATCACAGTTTCAGTTATGACTGTGATGTTTTTGTTTACCTCACTTATGGTAGTTCCCTGTTTCTGGCATCTTTTGGGAGAAATTTTTATTTTCCATAGTCTTTGTCTGCAGTTCAAGGAAATATGAACTTGGAATGTACCTTGAATGCTCTATGTGATCATTTCTCCTTGTTAGAGATGAAATGTTGTACATGAATAAATCTATTATTCCATGAATAGCTCTCTAAAAACTTCATAAACTTGTAATGTAAACCTGTGGGAACCACTCTTTGTTAGTACCACTTGGTTTTTTCATAATGAATTAAAAAAATTAACATGCTATTTAATAACAAATGAAAACCCACTTATTGGCAATGATTTTTGTTTAGAAAGTACTCATAGCAGTAAATAAAATTATATTTAAGTCTTCTTTTTATTCTCTTCGAGTACAGTAATTTTATTCAGTTTCATGCTCATTTTTATAACATGCACCATTATCACTTTAATTCTTCAATAAAGTTTCCAGGTTCCTTTTTGGTCTTATGTAGTAACATAAAAATTAAATGTGGAATATCATGATGTATGTATTTTTTATAACACTAAATGTAATTATGAAAATATCTTTATAACCTAGGAACAAGGTATGTTACTTTGGTAAACATTATATTGTCTAACTAACTTCTTGGTGTTGTGCCTGTTATTCTATTTCATAGTTGCTAAAATGTTTGGGGTAAACATAACTCGTAGAAGAACCTGAATCAAATTTACCATTGAGCTTATAAATTTAACTGTGTGTGTGAAGTGAACTGTTATTTACGACATATGTACTTTAGATACCTAATGTATTTGTGTATGCTGCTAATACTTGTACGTTAATTACTAGAACTGTGTGCTCTTGAACTATTTGCATGTACACTTAACCGTGACTTTTATGCATTTTTATATATTTTCAATGGAATTTTGAGCTTGTACAGTAACATGTTTCTTCAGTATGAAACATTGTATTGTAGTTCTGTATTAATTTCTAAACCTTAATCTCAGTGTCTTTGCCAACAGCAATGTGTACTGTTATTTGAGCCAAATAAAATATTTTTGTCATAGTTTATTTCTAATTTCTCATGATATTTGCATAGTTTAATTTTTTTAACATCTATTCAGTTGGATCACCTGTATTAATTGTATGTGTTTTCCTTACTACTATATTTTAAGTTTCCTGAACTTGTCTTATTAGGCTAAATGCTCCTCTTTTTATATATTTTGTTACTAATTTTAGCACGTAGTGTTACCTTTCTCTATTAAACATATAAAACAAGATTGTATGTTCTACTACACTGACATATTTATGGTCTGTTATTTGTTGTTGTTTTTTAGCTTAAGTTCTTGATTTAAATGCCCATTTACTACTTAAAAAACCTAAAACATAGAAACTTTTCTTTGGAGAAATCCTGTTAAGTGGGCTCAAATACAATAGTAGTAGACAAGTAAAGTGTAGACAATGTTATATAGTGTTTGTATGGTGTTGCAGTTTCTAGTAAAGTATGGCATGCAACTCATGAATATGCACACACCATATCCAAAAGCAATATGTTACATTAACTAGTATAAAATCAGAAAAGTTAGAATTCTATGCATAAAGAATGTTTAGATAATCATAGCATCATTTTTGTGCATAGATCTCTATAAAATTTGATAAATTCATTGTTTCCAAAAAAACATCATCTCAAAAAGAGCCTGGAGTTTGTTTGTTAAAGTATGCCAACTAGAAATTTGTGTTCCAACCACAATAATACTGAAACATTAGTGAACTGTAATACACCAGTTTAAAGCTGAACTATTGAATATGAGTCTAAAGAGGCTATAATTTCATTGTATAGGCCTTATTTTGGGTATTGTGTTCAGTTTTGGGCTCCTTACTTTATGAAGGACATTGAATTGTTGGAAAAGGCTTACAGGATGGATACTACAATAATACTTGTCCTGCAAGGAGAAGTTAAGATCTCCGAGATTGTTTTTTCTTGAAAAAAAATAAATTAGAAGGTACTTAATTGAAGTGTTCAAGATTATTAAGGGAATTGTTTGTATTGGGGCATCATGTTTTTTCATATTTAGTGAGGGAAATGGCAGGACTAGGGGACACAACTATGAATTTTGGCAGGGTAAGAGTAATCCTTAGATAACACAGTATTACTTTTCTAACAGGGTGGTTGGTCTTCAGAACTGATTTCTTTCAGATGTGGTAGATGTAATAAATATAAGCAAGTTTAAAGGAAAATTCAATACATACTTAAATGATCATTGCTGGATTTGAGTATTTTTTGTTTGAAGTACTTGGATCAACAGTGATGGACCAACAGGCTCCTTGTCCATAAATATTATATGGGGAACTATGTGAATTTGAATTAACTCAGGCTCATTATCTAGAAAGACTATTTTGTTTAAACACTCACACATTGGCTTTTTAGAAGTATGCTCAAATTAATCTTATAAGGCACTGGAGTAACATCTTGTATTATATATGACTTGAGTTGCTGGTTAAAAGCTTTAAGAAACAACATACTAACATATACAAACACCTCTGCTTATTTGACAGTTAGACTTGAAAAAGTCTGTGGAACCTTACTCACATCTTGTTGTGGTCTGTTTAAGACACAAGCCAACTGGATAGTTATAAAATATATCTAGTTTCTTTTCACATGTAACATTATTAGGCCTAGTCTGTATGCCATATGTTCAGCTGCATGATTTCATATCTTAGAAATACTAAAATCTACTAGATTAAATGAAACAACATAGAGATTGGGAAAGGTGTATCAAAACTGCAACAAAGAGGTTGATTTGTATTTTAGTCATAATTTGAAATAATTCATGGGCACAATAATATATCAACTTAATCTAATCATAGATTCATCCTTGTAAGAAAATATTGTTCTCACGGTTTGAGAAGTGTGTATATATTTTTATTGTATTGTGAAAAGTGATACTTCTTGTAATAGAAAATATAGCTTTTCTCTGACCTTAACATCCCTGTACTGTGAAGTTCAAAATAAGAAATATGTGATGATGTGTAGTGCAGTTGATATAAACTATGCATGTGATGTAATGTAGTAATCTGAAGAAAATATTGAAAATTGATAAATAACACGGTTGAAATTAATATATTTTTAACCAGACTGCCCATGAAAATTTTAAAGTTTGTGATTTTGAATTTTGTAGTTAATTATTCCATGTAAATGAATCTTTTTCTAGGTACTCATGTTATGGAAGGGAGTGGTAAAATGATGGTAACAGCAGTTGGCATTAATTCTCAAGCAGGTATTATTTTTACGCTACTGGGAGCAGCTTCCACAGAAACACCAGAAGAAAAAAAGATAAGAAAAAAAGGTTTGCTCGATCCTTAAACTTAATTTCAGAATGTCTCCTTGAATACTCATGTAGTGAATAATCATTTTTATCTGTCCTTTAAAGTATTACTGCCAGTGGTAGGCATAATTAATACCTATGACACATAACTTAGGAAACAAATATTATTTGTTAAAGGTAAAATAAATTTTCTTAAATATGTGCAACAGTGTTATATTTTAAAAAATTTCCTTCATATGTAAGTATCTTTTTATTTAGTCTTGCCTCTGTTCATTTGTATTCAGTATAATTGCAATTTTTTAAACAAATATGTAGTCTTGAGTTACTTGCATAATATGCATAAATTACTTATAACAATGTGTTCATATGCATTTTAAACTATTGTTATTACGTATCTGCTTGCTTGTTAATTTCAGGTAGAAATTCTTTCTGAGGAATTTCA